CTATACACTAGTCTATACACTATATCTACAGTGTAAGTGGATCTATGCTATACAATATCTACAATGTAAGTGGATCTACACCATACACTATACACTATCTACATTACAATGTAAGTGGATCTACACTGTACACTAGTCTATACACTATCTGCAGTGTAAGTGGATCTATGCTATACAATATATAGATCTACAATGTAAGTGGATCTACACTATACACTATCTACAATGTAAGTGGATATACACCATACACTATACACTATCTACATTACAATGTAAGTGGATCTACACTGTACACTATGCACTATCTACAATGTAAGTGGATCTAAGGTGTCAGCATGTGACCGTGATCGCTCTGCGTTGGTCTCTGGCAATTTTGACAAAACATTGTTGCGTAGGGACATGCACACGCACACACGCCGTGTAAATTGAAATGATAAAAGAATTCTAAAAAAAAGACGTTCTAAGGATAAAAGGCGTCTAAAGTGTAGTATGAATTCCCGGCGTGCTACTCTTGTTGAGTTAGTTCTTAACACCGCATCGCGATTTTTATACTCCCGTAAACCCATAAAAAAAGAATTGGGAACCGATGAAACTCGTAACGACCTATTAGTCTCTAAGTAGTGCTGGTTGTGCGATTTTCATTCTTCGCACATTGCCAGTAAGCTGAGAACGTATTGTAGCTGGAGTGCATGTGAAGAAGGTATTGTCGCTAGGCCGTTGGTGTGGAATATCATATATGCGAACTGCCAATGTGCCTGGAAGTCTGATTGTGTCCGTGAAACTCTTCCAGACTTCAAGTCAGACTTCCACAGTACACAAGATGATGTCTTTGGGTACATAAGAAGATATACGTATGATTACAGTACATATGATCAGGAATGTATAATATAGATATATCTGTATTCTGTAGCATCTATATTGTACACTCCCGATATGGTTACAGTACATATAAGATGATGTACATATGATTATGTCTGTGAAACTCTTGAGGTCAGCCTCACATAGTATGATAAGATTGTGTCTTTGGGAGATGTTCAGGGCAGAGTGTGCTCATGTTGGTTCTGTGGCGTCTATTCGGCCACCCTGAAAACCACGTCAACCGCCAAATATCTCAGAAGTGTGTATTTTGGCAGTCTACGTTCGAAAGCACGTAAATTCTGGACCGGTGATGTAGACCTTTTGCTTGAAATTTAAAGTTGGTGTGGGTATTGCTTGACGCGGGCAAATAGTCAACGCAATAGGGCAAAATGTCCCAATAGCTAACATTTCGTTTCGATTCGTCATTTGACACAGTGAGGCCATCGTGCGAACACATACATGCACAATAAGATCGACCTTTGTTCAGCGATCGCGCTTTCATGATTAGTAATCATGTCGTCTAAAAATGTCGTCTTCGGCTAGTCTGTTTATGGTAGATAGTTGACGTCATACCACCACGTGCTTACCTGTATGTACTCCCCCAGTATCATGTGTGTAGTAGTATCCAAGTGTCGTATCCAATAGGGTGGTTTACTTATTTCCGACCTGCCGCATGTAAATATTCCCTTCGGAACACTTTGTAATGGCCCGTTCAGCGATGTATGAAAATGGGAGGCTGAGAAGGGGCGGGGTCAGGGGCGGGGCGGCAGGAGGGGGAAGGGGGGGGGGGCCTCAGTGTAATTATATGCTGTTGCCATGGTGATCGAGGAATCCTGTACTCAGTTTAAGTTTTAGTTTCACTTCACTCACATGTAGAGATTTCAGACCGGGGTCTGACCTTAGGGAATGATGTGAATCTGTAGGAGCCCTTTATATTATCAGGGGTTAATACTTAATAATGACACGTTGTCATTATTAACCCCTGATATTATGTAGTTTCAGTTCACTCCCATGTAGTGTGATGTCACACCGTGCACGGTGGTCTTGCCGTAGCGAGTGAAGTGGATCTAGGAGCACTACAGCGTGAAACAGGTACTATAGATACTGCCGCGTGCGTGCGTGCGTGCGTGCGTGCGTGCGTGCGTGCGTGCGTGCGT